TGTCACATGGACCCGGTTTAATATTTTAGAAGCAGGTTGTGACGTCATGAAGGCGTCGCCTGCTGCTGCTGCTGTGGTCTGAAACTGTAGCGCTGATCAATAGCTGGTGTCAGAAACTAACCAGAGATCCTGCAGGAAAACATTCTTCAATGCGTTGGTAAAAAATATTGATATTAACGCCTTTTGGTCGTTGATTATGCCGACTAATGGCAGCAGCTCTGCCTGGACCTGACAGCTCCCATCGTGACACATGAGCCGCTGGTGGTTTTCACAGGAACGCACATTCATCTGATTGATTCTGGTTAACTTCAGACCACAAAGTTAACACAAAGGAAAGTCCACTGTTCACACAGTGTGTCTTTAAGAGAGGAGTGAACATATCACTTATTTTCCCACAGAAAAGAAGTGTCTGCTGAACACATGCTGGCTCTGCGGCGCTGCATCACCTGCCAGAACCCGACACCTTGATGCTTTAGTTAAAACACTGAATGGACTCTTCACACTTTGCTGAACTACTTGGAAAACATCGATAAACTGAGGTAAAAGAGCCGCTGCTGACATTTTAATCTATTCAAAATGAAGAAAAATAAATATATTCTGCCAATGAGAACAAACAGGGTTCATTATAATCATTTCCGTTGACGTTATTCACACTTGGGTACCAGCATGGTGGTTAAAAATCAAAGCACCTTCATCATATGTTGGTGCAGCTCAGTTTTAACTTGTCATCACAGATTTGTCTTTTTGGAAGCATAAAGTCAAAGCTAATGCTAACATGTCAAATGTTTTAGAGAAGTCGCTGCATGTGTGGCCTGGATGACGCTAAAACAGGTTTAATTTCAGGTGGCAGCCACTTAAAAACCCATCGATTGTCTCTCATCGTGTTCTGACTCATCTCTTCATCCACTCATGGCTCATTTCAAACGTGGGGATAAAAAAAAAATTACCATATCGAACTGGCAAACCCTCATCAGGAGGTGTTCAGAGAGTGTGTTTAATAACGGGCCGACCCGTGGGCCCACAGAACCCATATGGTGCTGCTTTGTTGCTCAGGTTTGCACGCGTGGAGCAAAACTGACACCTGGTGGCTGCAGGCGGTAACTGCAACATGAGTCATTCATATCAGCAGAGCGTGATCCTGGACAAAGTCAGAGTCCTGCATCCGTCTGTAAACGACTGCTTTTTTCCCGACTGCGGTTATTTAAAATGTCACAGCAGGTAACAGTCATTAATAACAATAACGACTTACTGCTGCTGCTGCTGCTGGTTCACCGACTCATTAGAGACTCTGTCAAGTCTTAATTACACGTGTTCTTCAGCTGCCACGACGAGAAGTCAGGTCACGACTGCCGTGAAAAGATGGACTGAGCTCTCAGCGTTTCTGTACCGTTTCCATACAGCGCTCTGCATGTTAATCATCAGAAAGCACTGATTTAGTGGCTCATAAAACCAACACGCTGACGGCGAGTTCTACACGACGAGCAGCGCTGGACTTCTGTCAAGCCGCCACTCTGTGATTTCACTGCCAGTTAAAACTTCATAAAGCAGGAAATCGCATCATCACAGTCCAGGAAAAAGAAAATGTGCCCTGCTCTTTGTACGCCGCCGCTTTATAGCTTCTCGCTTCGCTGCTGCGTTCAGCGCCGTGTTTTCCAGTAAAACACATAAAATAGCAGCTAAAAGAGATGCTGTGTGAAGTTCGAGGGGGTGTTTGTTCTGTGAAATCAGCGCCAAACTTATCAACTGACCCACAAACAGATATGAAAACAGGACACAGCGTGACAGCGTGCCAGGACTTTTACTTGCATATTTTTCCATATTTTAGCAGAGATGCAGCAGAGTGAGAGGATTTCTGCTCCATATGCAGCTCCTATGCATCGAATGTTGAACTTAGCTGTACTTCAAATAACGCTAAATTATCAGAAGATGATAAATGAAGTCTGAAAACATCAGGATATGTCGTGGATGTTGTTGCTGCTGGACGATGGGAACAATTTTAGCATTTGAAAAGCTGCAAGTTGTAAACAGAAGCGTGTGGGCTGCTGAGATGGAGAGACCCCGAGTAAACACAAGCATGCCACATCTGATGAGTCCTGTTCACACAAAAACTCATCCATCCTCGGAGGAAACACCTGGTTCCAAACGCTGCTGTGAAGAAGAACAAACAGAAAGAGGGCTTTACTCACTACGGCTGTGGGAGCAGCAGCCACCACGCAGTACAGGATGAGCGGCGGGATGAAGCTGGACTCCTCGGTTCCCGGGTACGGCTTCATCAGCTCGGCGTCGTTGCAGAAGAAGCCCTGCACGTGCACGCTGAACAGGTCCGTGCACTCCATGTAGTAGGCCAACAGCACCGTGCCGGACATGATGACGAGCTGGAAGAAGAACATGTCGGGGGGCGTGAGACGGAAAGCAGAGCTGAGAGTTGTCAGGCGCACATCCTGGTTGTCCTGATTCAGTTCTCAGCAGTTAAAAATGTCCTCAGACGAGTTGTTTCACAACCGAACGCCGTTCCGCTCGGCTCTCAGCTAACAGCTTTTAACGCTAAACAACCACATAAATCCTCTAAAACCACGTCTCTTCCTCTCTCTCTTCCTTTTTCTTGGTCTCACGCAAACTCCAGTCGTGTACATACATCCCCCCCCCTCCCCTCCACCACCACCAACCACCACCATCACTACTGGCACCACCATCACTTACCACCTCCCTTCCTCCCTCACCCCCTCATCCTTTTATCCCACTAACATCATCTTTTGTCTCTGGCCTCCTTTCGCTGTCTTTCCAGAGTCAGCTGCAGGCATGTTTTTTTTTTTCTCTTTTTTTGTTGTTGTTGTTTTTTTTCAAATATATAAATATAAATAGAATCTTTAGTCACCAATAATGAATCAACACTGGAATAGAAAACGCACCACGCTGCGGGAAAAAAAAAAAGAAAAAGAAGCTTTTCATTTGGTTTCCGAAAAATCAGCTGCATTTGTGTCATTTAGGCGTAAAATGTGTCAACGCTGACGCACATCCAGAAAACCTGCTGGGCTTTAATATCAAAGCAAAGTGATTAGATGCTTTTTTTATTTGGTATTTTAAAGCTTTCAAAAACACACTATGAGATCATAGAAATGGGAAGAAATAGGACGTCTTATTCCGTCGACATACTGCCAGTTGATGCTGCCGTACACTCTGGGTGGCTGATGCTAAATGAAACACCAGTTTAGGACACCAGTAACCCACACTGTCGGTACTGGTCTGTCGTTTACTCTGATCTCTGATTTCCCTGTTAAGGATGGAAAGCTGCTTTATTGATCCTGATAAGATCTGATAGAGTATCTAACAAATACATAACACCAGTGAACGCAGCAGGCAGGTCTGATTATTCTTTAACTTTTGTTTTTTTGCTAAAAAAAAAAAAAACAACCTTCAAAACGTTTCTACCTGTGCAAAACACACCTATAGAAGTGATATAAGTGGTTCACGTGATTCTTAAAACTGAACCTGTAATACTCCCTTCAACCACCAGGTGTCACTATGTCACTACAAAACAGGTCTTCAAATGAAAGTCGACAGAAACCTCAGGCTCAAGTGTTTCTGAAGCAATTAGGGAAGTGACATTTTAATAGAAACAGATGATGTTAATTGACAAACATTTTCAGCTGATTCGAAAAATGTTTGGCTCCTTGTAAAGATTTCTTATTTCGTACTAAAACATCTGACAGAAAGCTGAGACGTAGGAACTTTTCTAAGTATTCAAACTAAAACCCTGCAGGAGCTGCGCTGCCTTTTTTCCTTCTATAAAGGTTTCAGAAGAACAGTACGACTTCTGCCAACTACAGCATTGCATTGTTCGTAATAAAGAAAGCCATGAACTACAAGTTTGCATACTTTTAAACATAACTTTAATAATTTAGGCGGTTGAATGGAGAATCTAAGTGTTTACTGTTGGTAAGTCAGGAAGACAAATACAGACGCCCGTGTATCGACAGGTGAGGATTTACAGGAACAAACAGAACCCTGGATCCCTACAGAGGAGCTGTTGGTGCTGTCGTATGTTTTTTGGGGTATTTTGCTGCCAGGACTTTGCTCCATTCGTCCCCTCAGAGGGACGGGTCACTGCAAATCAATACTAAGGTGTTCTGACCTTTATCTTGTGATGAAACGTTCCTATCCTGATGGAAGTGGTCCACATGTATAGAGACAAAGGGTCCATAGATGGTTCCAAGAGCAGGAATCACATTCTGTCACTAGATCTCAACATAACCGAACACCAAATGGAGACTCTGGATCAACGTTACAGATCTCTCTCCACCACCATCATCAAAACACCAAATGAGGGAATAACAATGATGTTCTGTCCCTCCAGTTCCAGAGACTTGGAGAGTCAACACCAAGGTGCATGGAAGCTGCTCTAGCAGCCACCACCTCACTAAAGCAGCTGCTGGTTGTTCCTTTAGTTTGCCTGGAATTTTTCCTGTCTTAGGTCAGCTAGGATGACCAACAGTATTTCTATTTGCTAAACACCAGAATAACGAAAGATAGATTTTTTTTATTACTTTCTTCAGAGCCAGAAGTTTACATCCACTAAGATGCCCTCAAACTATTTGGGAAAGCCCAGATGATGATGTCATGGCTTTGGAAGCTTTTGATTGGTTAATTGACAACATCTGAGTTAATTGGAGGCACACCTGTGGATGTATTTTAAGGCACACTTCAAACACACTGCTTCCTTCTGTGACAACATGGAACATCTAAAGAAACCAGCCAAGATATCAGGAGGAGAACTGTGGACCTCCACCAGATTAGCTACAGAGAGGCTTCAGGACAACAGAGTGGCCATCACAAAGCCCTGATCTCCATCCTGGAGAACATCAGTGGAGCAAGGAGACCAACAAACCTGACCCAGTTCCACCAGTTCTGTCAGGAGGACCGGGCCAGAACTCATCAGACTGTTGTGAGAAGCTGGTGGAAGGAAACCCAGAACGTTTGACCCAAAGTCATAGAGTTTAAAGTTTAAAGAAAGTCACAAAAAAAATCTTTAAAAAATTCTCTCTCTCATTATTCTGGTGTTTAGCAAATAGAAATAATGTTGGTGATCCTGACGGACCTAAAACAGGAAAAGTTTGATTTAATGTCAGACTGTGAGAACAAAGGGTTATAGGTCTTTTTATACAGTAGATGTAAACTTCTGGTTTCGACTGCACATATGGGGCACTAGATCAGGCCGAGCTGGATCCCATCATTAACCCATATAGGCAGACTAGTGTAGAACCGAACTGAGCACAGCTTGGTATCCATAAGGTTCCTATACGGAGCCCATCAGGGGCCCGTCATCAACCCAGTTGGGTCGCCTGAGGTGGGTCCCAGATAGCATCAGCATCGGTTAGACGCTGATGGCTGCTTGCTTCTGCACTTAAACAGTAGAAATCTGCATTTAGTCACAGGCTACAGCGACTTTCAAACACATTAATTATTGCATTAAGTTTTCATTTTCTGAGTCAGACGCTGCAGTAAACAAAAAATCTGCACAAAATGATCCACTCGTCCCAGCGTGTGAACCAGACTGGACAATATGGCCGCTGGGGTTCAGACGGCGACGGCAAAGGAAGCAACTGTGTTTACAGAGAAGAGGAGAGGACAGTTGGCACATCCAGTCCTGACAGATGGTCACGTGGAGAAGCCCAGGTGTGTTCATGCATGTGCTTCTACGCCAGCTCTTTGAACAACACCCAGCTAGTTAGCAGTATTTTTTTGGGTTTGTTTTGCTTCGTCCCTGCTGAGCAGAACAATTTTTACACAGTTCACATGCGTTAACAAAAATCACAACACTTGGCTGCACACCCAAAGCGGGCCACAGCTCTGCTCAGCAGAAACAGGCAAAGAGAAGCTCCACTGAGATGAGCAGGAATCCTCTCGCTCCTCCATTTTACAGCTGCTTGACCAGACGCAGCATCCAGATTACAGAGACGGACAGATACGGGATGCGAGTCGTGATTGTACGTTGTTCGGCAAACAAGCTCCAGCAGCGTAATCGGCTAAAATATTATTCATAGGTCTCCTCTGAAAATATGTAAATTCCTCGGCTTGCAGGAATGCCATGTAATACCCGGTGGTATCGCACGCCTCAGGATGTCAGGTTCGCAGGGAGATGCATACAAACACGCTGGCGGAGATTAATTGGAGGGATGTACAGTAGAGCACATGTGTTAAATCTTATTAATATAACTGTGATTTCATTCACTGTGACCTGCTTCTTATTTGCATTTGCAAAATAAAAAAAAAAACAGCTTAACCTTGCCTCAAGCTCAGTCACAACAACCACATTTGTATTCATTCACCAACCCAAAGAAATAAAAGGTTTCTGGTACAACGCTTTGAGCTCGAGCAGGTTCTGGACCGTTTCTCCTCCCAAACACATTGTCTCCTCTGAGCCTCTGTGAAGCAGAAATATCACTCATCCCGTCTCTTTGTCCACGCTATGAATCACAGAAAGCCATAAACAAGCAGTTCGACACGACGAGAGTCATCGGGCTGCTTCAAATGACCGAAACAGGCCACGGGAGACGAGCAATTTCAGCTCGCTCAGGCCCGACCCGACTCTTTTCTTGTCATTCGTCTGCGGCAGAACTTGCTTGGTCGTGAGTCAGGCCCATAATTACGTCTCTATGAAGACGTCCAAGTGTGTCGACTCTATTGTGAAGAAAATAGTGGTGCAGTCTAATCCCTGGAGGCTCCTCACCGTTTGTGACTCTTTATTTTTCTCATGGACTGACTTTTCGGTGACAGCTGTACACCTGGACAAACGGCCCTTTTTCCTCTGCATAAAGCATAACTTGTGGCTCCATTATATTCTCTCCCCAGCCTGCGTCATGCTGCATTAGCCGTGTGAAGGGCAGACTGACAAGTCTGGCTCTCGTAAAACGGTTATACAAAGTTGCTGCAGCGTGCCATTACCCTTCTCCATTGGAGGGGACAATTCGCCTCTTTTTCTCAGCAGTCGGGGAAGAAAGCACTGAGAAAATTCAGTGCCTTTTTTTTTTTGGCACCATTTAAAAGTCAGTTACTAATAAATTGAATTGCAGAAATCTTTTTATTGCGACAGTGAAACTCCTCTAATCAATATGTTTCTATGAATGGAGCAGGGATGCGACTGGTTTCAGAGGAATCCTAACAGCGGCACGTCTCCCCTCCTCTCTCACATCTCGTTAAGCCTGCTCTTCATCACCCATCATGCAACGCTGCTTTTCTTACAGCTCTTCAAGTGGAACAGGATCATGTAACGCTGGCTTTTGTGCAATAACCCAACGTAGCTCTGCCTTTATAACCTTTGAGTACAATTCTGCACGCTGAGTCTGTCCAACAGCTAGGGTTAGGGTTAGGGTTAGAT